ACCAAGGGTTCAAGACCAGCCTGGGCAACTTGGTGAGACCTAGTCTCTATAATATATCAAAAAATTAGCCGGGTGTGACAGCACACGCCTGCAGTTTCGGCTATTTGGAAGGCTGAGGCAGAAGGATACCCTGAGCCCAGTGGGCTGATGCTGGGTGGTCGGGAGTGTGCCACTGCACTCCAGCCTGGACAGCAGAGTGAGAGTCTGACTAAAAAAAAAAAAAAAAAAGAAAAGAAAAAATAGCATTCTATATAACAATTCCACCTCTGAGAAGAAACATCCAAAGAAAGTACTTGAAATGTAGATACAGATTTATGGACAACTCTAAAATCTATAGATTAATGTACAAAGATGTGTGAAGCATTATTACTATAACAGTGAAAACACTGAAGAAATATTATGTCCAAGAGCAGCAGCATGAGTAAATTTTGGAATATCCATATACCAGAATATTAGGCCACCTTTCAAGATGATGTTTCTATGAGATTCTAAGAAACACATGTTGGATGAATAAGAAGTATAAAAAGCAATGTGCAAAACTGTCTGTATAAGATGATCTCAGCTATATAAAACAACTTAGAGAAAGAAAAACACGCCAGAATGGTAACAAAACTTATCTATGGATTAGGTTATGTATGATTTTTATTTTTTATTTCTATTTTTTGAATTGGGTTCTCACTCTGTCACCCTGGCTGGGGTGCAGTGGCACAATCACGGCTCACCACAGCCTCAACCTCCTGGGCACAAGCGATCTCCCCCATGCCAGCCTTCCAAGTAGCTGGGACTACATGAGTGTGCCACCATACTTGGCTAATTTTTAAATTTTCTGTAGAGAGGAGGTCTTATTATGTTGCCCAGACTATGCATGATTTTTATTTCAACTTCCAGAACTGCAGTGTCCAACAGGTGGTCACCGCCATGTGTGGCTATATACATTAATTTAATTTAAATGAAAAATGCAGTGCTCTTGCAATAGCCACAAGTGCTTGCAAGTCATGAGTGGTGGTGGCTACGCTATTAGATAGTACAGCCATATAACATTTCCATCAAAGCAAATAGTTCTACTGGGCAAAGCTTCTGTAATTTTCTATAAAGTATGTGAGTTATTTTTATGATCAGAAAAAGAGAATAAAGAAGGTTCAGATTAACTAAAGTGAGAAAAACCCCAAGAGCTTATTTTAACACTAGCAAAACCAAATCCAAGCTACTTATCTTTCAAGGAAGCAATAAGACAAGTTTAGTGAGAATTTAAACACAATCACCTATGTGCTCTTGGCTTGAGCACGGAAAAGGTGTGTTAACTTATGGGAGATGGTTCACATGTGGTCCAAAAAAGGGAGCTCAAACTGCCAGGATTGGTCATGACTGAACTGGAGGGGCAGCTCAATCTGGTGCCCTGGTTGGCAAGGCAGATAGATGCACCCCACAGCGAAGAAATGCACCCCACATTTACCTCAGCAACCCAACAGCACCAGAAAGAGGTCCCTGGCCAATCCCTTACACTTGGCTTCTACTCTCTGCCGTCAGGCCAGACCACAAAGACTGAGAGTGTTCACCGCCATCCAGGTCTCTTCTCCTTCTGGCAACACTGATAAACTCATGACCCGGATCCTTCTTGCATCTAAGTGGGTGCCTGTGACTTACCTGGACAAAGGGATGGGGACTGATGGGACAGATGCCACATTCAGGCATCTGGAGAGAAGGTCTGAATAGTCTTCCATGTCCTTGCTTTCTCTGCTTGCATGGCTCGAGAGGAAGGACTCTAAGATGGGAGAACCATCTGGTGGAACATGCCCCAGTCCCTGTGTTTTTGCGTGGAAGGGTCCCTGGGTGCACCCAGAATGGGAACATCTGCAGTGGACCTGAGTAAAAAATTAAGCCCTTGTTGGGATACCTCAGTAGGATTTTGGGGTCACTTGTAATATAGTAGCCAGCAGTACTTATTCTCCTCTCCTTTTTTTGAGTTGGGGTCTTTTTTTGAGTTACCCCAGCTGGAGTGCATGATGATCATGACTCATGGCAACCTCGACCTCCTGGGCTCAAGTAATCCTTCTGTCTCAGCATCTCAAGTAGCTGAGACTACAAGCATGTGCCACTATGCTTGGCTAATTTAAAAATTTTTTTTTGTAGAGATGAGGTCTTACTACATTGCCCAGGCTGGACTTGAACTCCTAGGCTCAATCAAATCCACCTGCCTCAGCCTTCCAAAGTGCTTGGATTACAGGCATGAGCCACCATGCCTGGCCACTAGCTATACTTATTCTAAAAAATAAACTAATAATTTGACTTTTTGTGTGAAAGGTGTCTACAAGCAGTTCTGGTTAATCCTCACATGTCTACAGGGGAGTTGGAACCATGGCTGACCCTTGGCTGATCCCTGAGAATGTGGCCCGTTGAATGCTCTGGATTGATGTTGCTTTGTACACTAGAAGCAATGGGACATGCTGTAGTGGCTTGTCAGGATTGTTTGGCACACTTTATGACACCTATCTGGTGTCTGCTGGGGCTCTGAGATTCGGTTATCAGGACTGTTCATGCAGCAGGAATGTGTCTTCCTCACCAGCTCTTCCTAAAGGCCTCCAATCCCCAGACCTCCCTGGACAGAGACAGCTCACACATGTCCTCTAGTTCAGGGGTCCCCAACCCCTAGATCACACACTGGTATCGGTTAGGAATCGGACTGCACAGTAGGAGATGAGTGGCAGAGGAACGAGCGAAGCTTCATCTGTATTTACAGCTGCTCCCCATCACTCACATTACTGCCTGAGCTCTACCTTCTGTACGATCAGTGTTGGCATTAGATTCTAACAGGAGCCTAAATCCTATTGTGAACTGTGCATGCGAGGGATCTAGGTTGCGTGCTCCTTATGAGAATCTAATGCCTGATGATCTGAGGTGGAGCTGAAGCGGTGATGCCAGTGCAGAGGAGCACCTGCAAATACGGATTAACATTAGCCATGAGATTTGACTGCACAGAGACCACCATAAATCAGTTGCTTGCAGACTCTTATCAAACCCTTCCAGTGAGTGGCAAATGAGTTGATGGACATCAGCATCAGTTGTACAGCTGCATCTCGTGGCAGACTTAGGTCAGAATCTGACACTTATTTTAGTCCATGCATGGCCTGCCCATTATTTTATTTACCATGTCTGTCTCCATCTATTTTTTTTATGGTGAGTTGTATAATTGCTTCATTATATATCACAATGCAATGATAATAAAAATAAAGTCCACAAAAAATGTTATGCACTTGAATCATCCCTAAACCATCCCCACTCCTCCCTATTCCATGGAAAAATTGTTCCCTAAAACCAGTCCATTATGCTAAAAAGGCTGGGGACCACTGCCCTAGTTCATTGCTAGAGAGAAAGCACGCCCTGTGTGACCTGGCAGGGAAGAAGCCGGAATGCCTGTACCTGAACTCTCTGGGCTTCTGACTCATTTCACTTTCCTGATGCTTTTACTCCATGTCCTTTGCTATAATAAACCCTAGTCATGAATATAATCTGCTGTGAGTTCTATGAGTACTCTTGGTATTGAACTTGAGGATGGTCATAGGACACCCAAAATAACTCAACTCCTACATGAGATTATTTTCCAGGAATACACAGGAGAAGTCAACCAAAATAAGTATGCATTCTTTCCAGCCCTCATCTATTTTACCATCTGTTGACATGCTAGCCTAGAGATCAAACTCTTATGAATTTGGTTGATGTGAGTCAGTGTATAAGAGCCTGATTGACAAAAGTTTCATTCCTTGACCTGAAGAACTTGGGAAGGCTATTTGGAATTCTGTGACCATTCAGTGGAGGACACCTTTTCAGTGGCCAAACTGGATGACATCTCTGCAGTGTCTCTCTTATATTTGTCACCCACCCTGTAATAAGATGAAACAAATACAAACCCACCTGAGCAGAGGTTGGCAAGTTATGACCCAGGTGCCAAATCTGTCCCACCTGCTGCTTTGGCATGGTCCATGAATGATGAATGATTTTTACATTTTTATTTTTAAATTTGTTATTATTATTTTTGGAGTCAACATCTCCATCTGTCACCCAGGCTCGAGTACAGTGGCACGATCATGGCTCACCGAAGTCTTGACCTTCTGGCATCAGGTGATCCTTCCACCTCAGCCTCTGAAGTAGCTGGAACTGCAAGTGTGCACTGCCATGCCTGGCTAATTTTTTTTGACTTTTTGGTGAGACGGGATCCCAAAGTGCTGGGATGACAGGCCTGAGTCACCATACCCAGCCAGTTTTTACATTTTTAAATGGTTAAAAAACATAATCAAGCCGGGCTCGGTGATTCAGCCTGTAATCCCGCGCCTTTGGG